GTAAAATTGTTTATTAAAATAATAAAACACGTTAAAAAAGTAAAAATTTTTTTGATGATGGAGTCGACGAAGTTTTCTTCTAAAGTTAAATCAAATAAAAAGTTAATATGTTCAGTGAAAAGCTGCAATAGCACTTCAGACATAGATCTTCACTCTTCACCTACATTAACTACTTTCCAATAAAAACCAACCGTCTTATATACGTAAAAAAATAATGCTACCTAGTTTTAGGGAATTGCGAAGATTAGCTCAGAATGGAAAAAAGAAGAAGTGCCTGTCCAACCAGTCTTAGGACTGGCGACTTTATGATGATGATGATGATGATGCTATCTAAATGACGTTAACCAGCTTGTTGGCATTCTTCAAAACACAGTAACACGTTGCGTTTGGAATGGCGTTAACGTTCCAAAAAATGTTACGCTTTAACTGTTCTAAGGTAGTCGGATTATCTGCATAGTCCCTCAATTTTTAGTAAAATATAAAACTTCTGGTGTTTTATTCTCACCAACTACTAATGCTGGTGGACGAGCAGTCAGTCTCTCCGAACTACATCAGAGGTAGGGCAGAAGGCCTTTTTCAATCTCCTTTTGGGAATAATAGGAATGGGTGGGTGGTGATTGGAGCGATAAAGATGAAACAAACGAAATTAATGCAGAAGAGAGTGAATACCTGTGAAATATTACTCCTTTAGCATTTCCTAAGTGATCCAAGGAATCCACAGAAAAACTTGAAGCAGGCCCTAATAATAAGCAATGATGTAAACCTCTAGGTCATGTAGTTCGGCGTATTTTATGTATCCCCTCAAACCCTCCCCCGGACTCCGTGGAGGCAACTGATTGCCTCCTCCTCACAAGACTAGTTTCCTATCTCTTTTATAAGAGGTCTACAGAAACTGGCGCTACAATAATTCTTGGCTCTCATCGTCACTGCGACTTCTCTTTCGTTTTCAAATAAGTATAGGTCAACTATTCCCCTTATTGATATTGAAATCCACCCAACAAGCTTAGGGCTATGAAAAGAACGTCAATGCTTTTTCTAGGGATTTTTCTTAGACCAAAACAGACAAATCTATTTCTTAATATTGTCTTTCAGGTGGAAGTTGACCCCATCGCTGAAGACTATGTTTACAAAAGTGAGCCGAAAGTTGACGTCACTGAGTTTCAGTTCTTGAGTAAGCTGGATTTTATAAGCATTTCTTAGATGCAAGTAACTAACACAAAATACTTCAAAAAGTTTTTCTTTTTATGTTTAAAGCTTATTGGTTTCTTTTCCGAGTATTGCCGAGGATTTCGTCTAACGGATTCATTTGCTCGCATAGTATATTGCGACGTCCTCGCTGATTTTGGGCGACCTTCATTAATTATTTATTATTCTCACTGCTGACCCGGTTGCTAACAACATTTTGATCCACTTACCAATAAAATTTACACTTGGTGCCTTACTTATGTCTCGTAAACTTCGACTAGCTAAACACGCGCCTCCACTCTTTCCTATCCTGAGCTAATTTTCGCATTTCCTAGAGAATTCCACATCCCTAACTATTTTTGAACAGTAATCTGTGTCTATCTCTACTCCTCTTAACTCCTGTTTCTACTTTAAGCATGTCTCTAACTAGCCCTTCATGTCTAAGAAGGTGTCCTATAAATCTATCTCGCCTATTTCTTATTTATTGACTACGACAGAGTCCTCTGGTCTGTTATTCTTTCTAATAGGTACCTCTTCATTTCTAACCTCTAGGCTAAGGTCACAAAAAATTCCATAAATTAGCGCAATTAACGACACCCTGTGTGTTTCTAGAATATAGACAAAGCAAATTGTCAACATAGTTAAAGCTCACCCTGTATAGTGTCTCCGAATACATCACAAAAAAAATGATCAAAGCATTTGTAGTCTATTTGATTCTACCTTTTGTATAGATTTAACCTAGTTTCCAAAATAAAACCTTACAGCAGACCCACTATGTACACATCACGCTCAAGACCAAATGAATAATAAATATTAAATGGAAAGCCGATAATAACTGAAATGGGAATTGGGATAAACCAATAGAAACCATTCATTTGGTTATTTTTAACAACCAAAAAATGTTTCGATATTCATTTCGTCTCTGGTGAATACTACAATTTCAAAATG